GCCATGGGGCTCCCTGCTCTGAGAGGCTTTTCCAGCCTCAGCAGTGCCTTGGTTGACTGGCAGGATGTGCTCAGAGGCTCCTCAAGATGTTCTGCTGAGCTGCTGGAGAGACACTCAGTGTCCAAACTGGCAAATTTTGGGGAAATAAGGGACAGACTGCTCAGTGTTGAGCCTTGGGGGCACCTTTGGCCTTCCCAGCTGATGAAGGAGCTGATCCACTCTGGTTTTTTTGGGAAAAAGGCTCTCAGAGCCGTTCCTCGCCCATTGGGCTGTGCTCTGCCAGCCTTTATCTCCTCAAAGGTTCCTCAGCTGCAGGGAGGAACCACCAGGAGAGAGGCAGCGAGTAGAGGAGGGGGAGTTGGAGGATAAAACACGTTCAGAGTCTCCTCAGGCCCCAGAGTTCCCGTTCCAGGTGGCTGCCACCACCCCAGGTGGGCTGAGTGTCCCTGAAGGGCTGTCCCCACTCTGTGTCACCAGCCCAGCCTTGGCTCTGGGAGGCACAGATCCCTCACTGGTGGGGTTTGGTGGCTCACTCTGCATTTTGCAGATCTGTAGGAAGGCTGTTATTTGCTTTTAGCACAAGGAGTTCAATCTCGCTTTCCTGGGTGTAGTTTTGGCACAGATCATCTCGTTATTACTATTTATTCCAAAAAATCACCACTGCTGATTTATTCTGAGTCTTGTTCCCTCTGACTCCAGTTCTGTCCAAACCCCACATAGTGTTGTTCACTGGGACCTTCATCCAACCATAACAAGTACCCAGTTTCTGGAGACAAATTTATTTTAAAATCAGGCTTTTAAACTTGTTGGCTTTAGTGGGGCTTTGCCAGATGTGGTTTTGGTGCTTTGGGCTCGGGGTTGGGTTGGCCAACCTCACACTGCACCAAGCACTCCAAGTGGATGGATCCACGTGGGATAAACCCAGTGTGTGCCCCCTCCAGCTGCTGGGGCCTTGGTGTGCTCAGCTCCAGGAGCCTGGAGAGCTGCTGTGGGCTGGGAAGGGCTTGGAGCTGGCCGTGGAGCTGGCCATGGAGCTGGCCATGGAGGTGGTCATGGAGGTGGTCATGGAGCTGGAGCTGGCCATGGAGCTGGCCATGGAGCTGGCCATGGAGCTGGCCATGGAGCTGGAGCTGGCCATGGAGCTGGCCATTGAGCTGGCCATGGAGCTGGAGCTGGCCATGGAGCCGGCCATGAGCTGGCCATGGAGCTGGCCATGGAGCTGGCCATGGAGCTGGCCATGGAGCTGGCCATGGAGCTGGCCATGGAGCTGGAGCTGGCCATGGAGCTGGCCATGGAGCTGGAGCTGGCCATGGAGCTGGAGCTGGCCATGGAGCTGGCCATGGAGCTGGCCATGGAGCTGGAGCTGGCCATGGAGCTGGCCATGGAGCTGGCCATGGAGCTGACCATGGAGCTGGCCATGGAGCTGGCCATGGAGCTGGAGCTGGCCATGGAGCTGGCCATGGAGCTGGCCATGGAGCTGGGAAGGGCTTGGAGCTGGCCATGGAGCTGGAGCTGGCCATGGAGCTGGCCATGGAGCTGGGAAGGGCTTGGAGCTGGCCATGGAGCTGGAGCTGGCCATGGAGCTGGCCTTGGAGCTGGGAAGGGCTTGGAGCTGGCCATGGAGCTGGAGCTGGCCATGGAGCTGGCCATGGAGCTGGAGCTGACCATGGAGCTGGTCACAGAGCTGGCCATGGAGCTGGAGCTGGCCATGGACCTGGCCATGGAGCTGGAGCTGGCCATGGACCTGGCCATGGAGCTGGCCATGGAGCTGGCCACAGCGTGGGGCTCCACCAGCAAGAGCTCAGACACTGCTGGGGGCTGTTCCTGGGAATGCTGCAGAGTTTGAGCCCACGGGTGTCTCTGGAGGACTCTTGGTGTTGCTGTTGCAGATTACACAAGGCCATTTAGGAGTTTGCTCCTTCCTCACTGGTAAAACCCCAAACCAAATCCTGGAGTTTGTGGGTTCAGTTTGTGGAGTCATTTGTTCTCGCTGGTGCACTGAAATACAGAATTCCAGGCTGCTTTGGGTTGGGAGGGACCTTAAAGCCAATCCAATCACCAAGCCTGGCCTTGGGCACTGCCAGGGACCCAGGGGCAGCCACAGCAGCTCTGGGCACCTGTGCCAGGGCCTCCCCAGTGATAGGAATGATTTCTTGATAGGAATCATGATAGGAATGATGGTAGGGATCATTTCTTGCAGCGCTGCTCTTGGAAACTACTGGGACATCCCAGCAGTGGGATTTTGGGATGTGGGATTTCCACCATTAGGAACAGGAGTGGGGCTGGAGGCACTGCCAGCACTGCCAGCAGTGTGGACAGAAAGCTGCTGATGGCAGGGCTGTGCCTGGGAGGGATCCACTGAAGATGCCAGATGGGAATGTCCTTCCCTGTCTCCTTGAAGCCCCTTTCCCTGGGGATGTTCCGTGGTGCTGCTGACTCAGCCGGGTGAGCAGCACGAGGAGCCAGCTCAGGGCACAGCAGCTCCAACAAAATGCCTTTCAAATATCTTCCAGGGGGTTCTGGCTGTGCTCGGGGGAGCAAGCAAACTCAAAAGTCTCCTAAATCATTCTTGCAGCCTAATGAACAAATCTGATTAAGGTTTGGCAGCTTTTCCTAATATTCCCTGTAACTAGGAAATGGTCCCAGTTCTCTGCTCTGAGAACAGCATCGTAATTAAACCATGAATGAGGGCAAATGTCCTGATGAGCACAGGACAAATGAATATTAAACCCCAAATCTCTCCTTCTGTAATCCCTGGGGGATGGTGCAGGGTTGTGTATCCTGGAATGTCAGAGTCTGTGAGAGATGGAGCCTGAGTTACAGCCCCTCAAGTAGGGAAGGTCTCTACCCAGTTCCCCTGAATTAATAATAATAATAATAATAATAATAATAATAATAATAATAGTAACAGAATCATGGAATGCTTTCATTTGGAGGGACTTTAAAGCCCATCCAGTGCCACCCCTGCCATGGCAGGGACACTTCCACTGTCCCAGGCTGCTCCCAGCCCTGTCCAGCCTGGCCTTGGGCACTTCAGGGATCCAGAGGCAGCCACAGCTGCCCTGGGAATTCTGTTCTTGGGCCTCCCCACCCTCCCAGGGAACAATTCCTAATTCCCAAAATCCCATCCATCCCTGCCCTCTGGCAGTGGGAAGCCATTCCCCTTGTCCTGTCGTGTTTTTTATTCACCATCTATTAAGCAACATGAAATAACATGAAATTCATGTTGTCATTGGTTCAGAAACGTGGAAGCTGCTGGAGTTCAGATCCTGAACCTTTGGGTGTTGTAGGATTTGAGGAGCACTCCCTGATCCTGGGAATTCTTGTCATGGGTGCTGCAGCCCCTCATCAGCCAGAGGTTTAATGTTGCTGCTGAATTAGCTGAAATAATTAATGACAGCAGCTTCCAGAAGCTGGGAAGTCACCTTGATGTGGGGGATATTTGAGACTGGTAGGGTTCCAAACGAAGCAGGGAAGCACTGAGATGGGAATGGGCAGGAGGTTGTTTTTCAGGAGAGGGATCTGCTGACAACTGCTGCTGTTGGCATTGCTGTGGATGGCACTGACAGGTGAAACAAGAAGAGAAAGGATTATTGAAATGCAGGGGAGGAATTGGGTAGAGAGGAGCCAATACAGATCAGCTGCAATAAAAACGGGTTTTCCAGGTGAACAGACACAATTCCTAAGGATTTTGCATTAAAGCAGGTGTTCAACCTCTACATTTTGCTGGTTTTCCTTCACAAGCCTCTACATTTTGCTGGTTTTCCTTCACAACCTCTACATTTTGCTGGTTTTCCTTCACAACCTCTACATTTTGCTGGTTTTCCTCTTGTATGTGCCCAGGATGCTCAGCCCAGTGCTGCAGAACTGGAAGGCCAGATGGGTAGGAAGGGGTTAAACCAATTCAGGGGGGAAAAAGGCTTATCCTGAGCTTACCCTGGAGTCAGAACATAAAAACAACAAGCCAAACTCTGGTAGGAGGGAGGCATGGGGTGATTTTGTTTTCCTGGCTCGTACCAGGACTGAGCCATCCTCTGGGACACTCCTGTCAAGTCTGACAAGCAGGAGAACTGGGAATAGAGACTAATTTCCAAAAGATGTGGAGAACAGGCTGTTTACTGCTGGAATCCATACCCTGGGCTTGTCACAATCTGTTGCAGGGTTATAAAAAGCAGTGTCCAACACGGATAAGGCTGGATTTGAATCCCCAGATGACAGGGGAGATGCAGGAATTTGTGCTGGGCCCAGGGCTGTGTGGTTGTGCAGCTGCACCCTGGGGAAGGAGGGCTTGGAAGTGATTTTTAGGGAAGCTGCTGCTTGCTTGTTCCGTGGGATTTCAGGGATTTGGGGGGAAAACCTGGGGAAACTGTTCCTAAATGAACCATTTGTTGGGTTGGAGGGCGGTGTTGGTGCTGCTGGGGCTGGACACTGCTTTGGGCTGTGGCTTTCCAGAGGACACGAGGAGGGGGTGCTGCTCTCCTGCCCCTCAGGGTGTCTTCACTGTCCCAGCCAGTGTCACAGCTCAGGTGACAATGGCCAAAATGAACAACCACAGGGAAAAGTGGCACTTCTTGGAGCTGCCTCTGAGCTCTGCTGTAGCACAGCTCCAGCGAGGTCAGTGTGATCCTGTCTGCCAGAATGGGATCTCCATCTTCTGCTCTGGTGGGAGCAACGTTCTTACAATTTCTTGTAACAACTTAAAAGATGAGAAGATTTGCTATTTAAAGTAAACCACAGGTTTCCTTCATCTGCTATCTGGCTTTTCCCACTGGGATAAGATGAGAAATTGGAATCTAACAGCATCTGGATGAACCTGTCATGTTGCAGGGAAAATCTTTCTTCCTGCAGGTATTCTGGGGTTTAGGAACTTTTCCACTAACACCAACCTGTGCTGTGTCACTTCTGTTTCCTGCTGCTGCTGTGTTGAATAACAGTAAACTAAAAAACATATCTAAAAAAAAGAAAAGCTTAAACTTAGGAATGTCCTTTCCTTCCCCCAGCCAAGCCAGAGGAGGCCAAAGCAGCCGAGGCCGTGAGTGGGAACGACATCACAGCTCCTCCCAACAAGGAGCTCCCTCCCAGCCCAGAGAAGAAGACCAAGGTAGGAGCTGTTCCCTGTTCCCATCTCTGCTCCCACAGCTTTAATTTTCCAGCTTTTCTGCTCCCTCAGCTGGGCCAGCCCCAGTTCTGTTTTCTGAGCTGCCACCTGGGAGCCCTTTCCCTGCAGCAAACACATCCAGTTCCCACTGCCAACGGCCCAGCCCGGGCAAACTTTGAGAAAAGTGTGGAAATTTCATTTCAGTGAATTCCCTGGCTGGTGCAGTGATGTAGTAAACACCTAGTAAACGTGTAGTAACCCCTACAGAGATGCTGTGAGCTGTTCCTAGCACGTTTCTGTGCAGGCAGAGCCCTGCTCAGGCCCCTCTGGCTCTGGGGCTGTGCTCTCAGGAGCTCCCAGCACGCAGCAGAGCCCCCCAGAGTGTCCCCAAGGGGGCTGGGGGGGCTGGGGGCTCTGTCCCCCCGAGGCCCTGCCCGTGTGACCACAGGAGCTGATCCCATGGGGATTTGGAGCTCACAATCCCTGCGTGCCCATAATTGGAAAGCCACGGCCCGTGGATTGCACGTAGCCCTGGATGCCAGGAGCACCCAATTACTAATCCAGCTTTACCAGCCATTCCTTCTGTTGCTTTCCATGCTGCTGAAATAAATCCTGTTGGTTTGGAATTGACTGGCAGAACCCCCTCAGCTGCTGCATTTCGGTTTTTGTTGCACTCAGAAAACAGAAAGCTGCTTATTATTATTATTATTATTATTATTATTATTATTATTATTATTATTATTATTATTATTTTATTGTTATTACTATCCTTGTTATTATTATTATTATTACTCTTCTTATTCTTATTATTACTATTACTCATTCTTATTATTATTATTACTCTTCTTATTCTTATTATTTGTTTCCTTTAAAATATCACTTTTCTGTTGTTGCAGCCCAATGTTTTGGTTTACAATGCGCTATTTTTTGTTGTATTTCTTTGGTTTTATCCTGGATTTTGCTTTTTGGCCCCACCCTAAAGCCTGCTGCATCCACCTCCACTGCCAAGCCAGCGAAGGCCAAGCCCTCGGCCAGCACCAGCCCCAAGCGGCCGAGCTCGGCCACCCCGAGCACAAACAAAAAACCCACGAGCCCAACTGCAGCTCCTACTCCAGGCAGCACCTCCAAACGCCCCGGCACCAGCAGCACCCGTCCCTCCACCCTAACTCCAAAAGAGACTAAACCAAAGGTAAGAAGTGCCAGGCTCTGGGCAGCACCCAGGGCTCGCTGGCAGGGCAGATTGCCAGCCCTCACCCATGGGCAGGGCAGAATTCCTGTGCTAGGCTGAGATCAGGAGTGGGATTCAGTGTGTTGGGAGCTGCAGGGTGCTTGGAGCAGCTTCCCGGGGATGGCATCGTGTGCCTGGCACTGAATTGTGTCAGCACAGAGGAGAATTAAACCTGAGTGTAGTGCTGAGATGGTCCTGATGAGCTGCCATGAATCAGGGATCCCAGGCTGGGTTGGGTTGGGAGGGACCTCAAAGCCCACCCTGTGCCACCCCTGCCATGGCAGGGACACCTCCCACTGTGCCAGGCTGCTCCAAACCCTGTCCAGCCTGGCCTTGGGCACTGCCAGGGATGCAGGGGCACCACAGCTGCTCTGGGAATTCCATTCCAGCCCCTTCCCACCCTCCCAGCCAGGAATTCCTTCTGTGTACAGCTCCTAAATCCAGACAACAGCATGGGAAACCTGATTGGAGACCTTTGGTATGAATACTGAAGAAAAATCCTTGTGAACACTCCATATTTCCCACCAGTGGTCATTTTATGATGGCTGGTCACTGCAGAACTTCACAGAGAGGACTGATAACACTTAGAAAACTCTGGAGATTTGTAGCTCCCCAAAAGAGGATTCATGGACAATGTTGCATCTTCCAGATAAGCAGAGAATCCCCATGTGTTAGGAATGGGAGGTGTCCCTTGAATGTCCCCTATGTTAACTTGTGATCTTAGAGAGTAGAGGAATTCAGATTTAAAAGGGAACATCAAAATCTATTTCAGAAGCTTTTATTGGTAGCTGAACACCACCACTCCTGCTAATCTCAAGTTACACTCAAGCATTTTAGTGTCTTCTAGAACTAACTAAAAATAACAGAAGGCAAATGAAAACCCAGGTGTAAATCTCTGCTTTTCTCTGAGCTGGTGACTTTGGATTGGTTTAAGTTTTTGTATCATTCGGAATCCCTTCTTGATAAAACAATATTTATTCCCATGCATTAATTCAGTGTTTTCATACCTCAGAGATCAGGCAGTTGACAAACAAGTGCCTGACCAGGAACAGCAGGAAAGAGTTTTCCAAGTGAGGGATGAGCCATGGACCCCTAATTCTCATGTCACCACTGTTTAACCAAATTGCAGCTTAGGGAGCATTGCTGCTCCTGGAGGATGGGAATGTCTCCCAGGAGCATTGCTGGTGTTCTGATGGTTCCATTTTATCCAGAAATCAAAACCTCCTTCTTAGCTGGAGAGGCCTCCACACCTCAGAGCTGAGCCAGCCCTGGGTGGGAGCTGCTCCGTCTCCTGCCCTCCACATCATCACTCGCTTCTGCACGTCTTTAATGATGTTTTAATTGCATTATGACCTTTCAGCAGTGCCAGGCTTAATTAAGTGCTGAAGAATGTCAGCGATTCCTGTTCATTCAGCTCTCCTGGCGCTTCCCCTCACGCTGAGCGCGCTGTTCTCCGTTCTGACGCCGCCCGTTCCTTTCCAGGTCACGGATGCAAAGCCCACGGAGAAGAGGACCTCCCTCTCCAAGCCTCCATCCTCCACCACTCCCAGGACTCCCTCCAGGAGCTCCTCTGCTGCTCCCCGGACCACGGCACCGTCACCAGTGACGGCAGCGGCCGCTGCCAAAACCACGGTGGCTGCTCCTGCCAAGAGGCCGAATTGTGAGTGCTCCCCCCTTTCTTTTGGGGTAACCTGGCCTCAGCAGCTGCAGGCTCCTGGCTGAGCAGCACCAGGGGCTCTGCACAGCTCCTGGCAGGAGGGGACAGCAGGGAAAGGGACAGCAGGAGGGCAGCGGCCTCAGGTGGATATTGGGAATGTTCCTCCATGGAAAGGGCTGTCCAGCCCTGGCACAGCTGGTGGGGTCCCCACCTCTGGAAGTGTTCAAAAGCCACTCCCTCGTTGCCTGGATTCTGACAGTAGCTCAAGTGTTCTTCTCTCCAGGGCTTCTTCTCCAAATTCCATTCAGGGCCAGCCTGGATCAGCTGTGTGTGATCCAGGGTTAATGCAATTAACACTTGATTTAAGAGTGGGCATTCTATTCCCTCTGTACTTTGCCACAGGAACAGAATAAACACTAAATAAAAGCTCAGGAAAGCAAATCTTTGGAAGAGGACTTGAAACACCTCAACTGGTGTGTGAAATCCAAAAGGGTTGAGCAGAAGTGGAGGTTTTTTTAGTAGAGCAGGAAGAATTTGAAACTGAAATCACGTCAGCTTCATCCAAAAACTGTGTCCCACTCAGACTGCTGCTAAAGAGGGAACTTCCCATGAGTTCAACAGGAAACCTGAGCAGTGTTTTAGATAAACTAACACTGTTCTCACTCCTTTTAATGGAGCTTGAGAGATTTAACATCAGATAATATTATATTTAAGTCTTCTCAAGTATTTTCAAATTACTGGACCTCAGTGTTTTTGTCAAATTTGTCAATAAAAGTGTCAAGTGACACAGACTGGTTTGAATCCAAAGCATGGATTCCTATCCCAGCTCTTCCAAAGGAATTGTCATGTTTTAGCTGTGTTGGGATGGATTCAGCCTGATGGACATCCCAGACTTTATGCTCTGGGGGAAAATCTAATTAATCAAGTGTAGAGAAGGTGTTGCACATTCCAAGAGCCACATCTCCCGTCTGATCCCGTGGACAGCCTGGTAAAACTCATTTTGTGTGGTCTTGGAGGCAAACGGGGGCCCAGGAATGCAGGATCTGTTCTAATGAGCTGGGCTCGCTCCTGCTGCCCAAACGGAGCCACAAACAAAGGAGTGTTTGCTGCTGACATCTGAAAGGAGATGGAGGCAGCGATGCAGAGCTGCAGGGAGCTGTTCCAAGGGGCAGGATGAGCAGGGCAAGGGGCTGTGGCACCAGGAACATGGTGGGACCCTGCCAGGGCACAGGCAGGGCTGTGGGGTGAGGGAGGATGAGGTCAGCTGAGGGACTCCGTGGGGAGGTGATAAATCTGGATCTGGATCTGGAAATGCACAGGGAAGGCAGGAATGGGAAGAGCACGGGGTCCTGTTCTGGTCAGGTGGAAACAGGGGTGGGACAGAGGGTGGAAGGTGCCCTGGGGCCTTGAGGAAACCACAATGAGCCCAGTGCTCAGGGTCTGGTTTGGTTTGGTTTGGTTTGGTTTGGTTGGGTTGGGTTGGGTTTGGTTTGGTTGGGTTGGGTTTGGTTTGGTTGGGTTGGTTTGGTTTGGTTTGGTTTGGTTTGGTTTGGTTGGTTTCGTTTGGTTTCGTTTGGTTTCGTTTCCTTTGGTTTGGTTTAGTTTGGTTTGGTTTGGGTTGGTTTGGTTTGGTTTGCTGTGGTTTGGCTTGGTTTGGGTGAGATGTGGGTGGGGACACCCAGAGCTCTTGGGGTCACAGCTCTGATCAGCTCCTTTAGAGGAGGGGACAGCGGGGGCCAGGCTCTGCTCCAGGAAACAGGGACAGGAGGAGAAGGAACAGCCTCAGGCTGGGCCAGGGGAGGCTCAGGGTGAATATTGGGAATATTCCTCATGGAAAGGTGGTCAGGCCTTGGAATGGGCTGAGCAGGGCAGTGGTGGAGTCCCCATCCCCGTAGAGATTTTGGAGCCACGTGGATGTGGCACTTGGGGACGTGCTCAGTGGTGGGGAACAGTTGTACTGGATGGTCTGGCAGGGCTTTTCCAACCATAGTTATTCCATGGATTTAGTTTCTCATGACAAGTGTTGAGGCAGAGAATAAGATTGGGGTGGAGATGGTGTTTGTGGCTGAAGATGCTCTTTGAGGACAGCTGCTGGTGCTTTTCTCGGTGCCTTGAGCTGCCATCAAGTTCCAGTCATTGTCTCACCTGAAACGTGTCTGTAAAGGCCAGGTTTGACTTTATATAGTTTCACTTCTTAAGGTATTTTCAGGTCAGTCTCTCTGCTAAAGGAGAGCCATGGGTTATGTGGGGATTGATGTTTTGATTTTTAATTTTGTTTCTTCATTAGTTTTTGTCCCCCTCCCTGTGGAAATTACTTTAATGTTTGCACAAGACCGTGTTCAGCCCTTCAGATCAGGCACGGATCAAAGTCTGTCACTCAGGCCATTGTCCCAGGGGCTTTGTCTGGGTTTTCAGCACCTCAAATTCATACAGACAGAAGTGTTCAGGGTTTGGCTCCCCACTGACACCAGCAGACAAAACATCTCTGTATATTAATGTAACATAATATTCCTCTGCCTTTTACATAAACCTAAGTCTGTTCTGTCCGTGCAGTTTCCCCAGTTAAAGTTGTGGTCTCAAGGAATGAAATTAGGTTGGTTTGCCAGCCCCTTGTTCAAAGTGTTTGCTATTAATTATGTATCCATCCTTTAGGCCTTATTAAATTATCCAAATGGGTTTCACCTCATTAGCTGGAATCTTATCTGGGGTGTTTAATTGAATGCTTTTAGCAAAGTCAGGGTGGAATGATCCAGACTAACTTGGCCTGTAGTTATCTGCCTCTTCCCCTTGGTCTTTTTGGTATTGATATTCCATAAAGGACCCTGACAGCTGCTGGAGTGTATCTAAAAATCTGAGACTTAATGAAAATTAAATATTAAAAAATGAGGGTTTTTGTAATTTCTAACTTGGGTCTTTTCCATGTATTATTTCTTTTCAATGTTGCCTTCCTTTGGCTGTTGAAATGAAGCAGATTTTACCCAAACGTGCTCATCACTGATAGTAAAAACCCTACAATTTCATGATCAAAGAGTTCCTTAAAATGAAGTCTCATTTCTATTTTTCAGCCCTTGGTTTTTGCCTTGATCAATTTGGTGTTTGGTTTTCTCCTGCTTGGAGAAGTGTGGCTGCATCCCTGGTTTAGAGTGTCCTCTGTGCAGTGTAATCAGGTCATGATCGTTGGGCTTTGCCCAAAGGCAGCTCAGTTTAGGGATTGATTTTTGGGTTTATACAATTAAAATAGCAGCCAAAATATGTGCAGTAACTCCTGTGCAAGAAAATTGGCACGGGGTAGGACTGGTCTGGCAATGAGAGCAAGGTTGGGCAAGGACAAATGTGGGGCTGCTTTTGTTCCTTTTTAAAGAAAGGGAATGTTTTGGGGTGGGTTTTCTTGCTGGTTTGGGGTATTTTTAAGAAATTCTGGTGCCAGCAGGAGCTCCCCAGCCAGGTGCTCGTGCAGAGCAGTCATTCCCTGGGCTGGTTCCAGGCTGGAATCCTGCAGGGTTCTCCCCTGACGTCCTGACCGCTGTGTTTGTCTTGGCAGCCATCAAGACGGACACGAAGCCGGCAGATGCCAAGAAAACCCCTGCAAAGTCTCCCACAGGTAACCGCTCACTTCCCACCTCACCTGGACTCACAGAAATCCTTCTTGGGCAAGGCCATCGAGCCCACCCATCCCCCAGCACTGCCAAGGCCACCCCTGACCATGTCCCCAGGTGCCACATCCACGTGGATGTCACATCCCTCCAGGGATAGGGACTCCACCATGTCCTGGGCAGCTGGGCCAGGGCTGGAGAGCCCTTTCCAGGAAGGAATATTCGCAGTATCCCACCTGAACCTGCCCTTGCACAGCCTGAGGCTGTTCCCTCAGTCTGAATCAAATCCCCTTTGTCTGGGGCTGGGGCCATTAAGGGGTCCCTGTACATCTCTGGGCACGGGGGTGTCCCAGCTGGGTGGGGCTTGGGGCAGCCTGGGACAGTGGAAGGTGTCCCTGCCACGGCCGGGGTGGGACAAGCTGATCTTTGAGGTGCCAGCTGTGCAACCGAGGCAGTTTGTGCAACTGACCCCTGTTCTCCCCTTCCCTCCACAGCAGATTCCAGCCGCCCCAAGAGCGCTGCCGGCAGTGCCACCAAGAGCAGCGCCACCACTCCTTCCACCACGGCCTCCAGCGCTCCCAGCGCGCCCGGGGCGGCCGCCAGCCGGCCCAAACCCAAAACCACGGCCCCCAAAGCTGCCACGGCCTCCACGGTGTCAGCAGATGCCAAGAGAGCCCCGGCCAAGGCCACGAGTGGCAAAGGTGCCACCACCACCACCACCACTGCCACCCGAGCGCCGCGCCCGGCCAGCGCCGCCGGGCCCGACCTGCGCAACGTGCGCTCCAAGATCGGCTCCACCGACAACATCAAGCACCAGCCCGGCGGGGGCAAGGTGAGCCTGTCCTGCCCTGCCCTGCCCTGTCTGCGCTGCTGGGCTGGTGGCTGTGTCCTCACTGCTCGCTCCAGCTCCTCGCTGGCTCCTGCTTGGGCACAGGGACCCACCCCAGGGCCGGCTCCGCTGCTGCCCTCCCGCCCTCAGGCCTGCCACACAACACCCAGTGTGCTGCCCAGCCCTTTGCCCTTTGCCCTTGAGTCCAGGAGCTGAGCCTGCTGAATGCTACACAAGGTGGAATAGTGCTCCAGGATGAGGCAGATCTGGATTCCACACCACCTTCCCCATGCCCAACTCGTCAGGCCCGAAGCTGACATGAAATCCTTTGGGACCACCCATGGTGGGCACGAGAAGAGGGTAGTGCTGGAAAACCATTGCCAGAGATAGAACTCAGGGCTCTCACTGCCTCTTAATGCCCTTAGGTGGCACTTCCACCATCAGCATCTCCCATGGAAGGACAAAGGTGGGATCCACCCTGTGCAGAACCACAGAGCCCTGATTAGCTGTTGTGTAAGCCCAGCCTTGGCCTGGCCACGTGTGTTAGCAGCAGCCAGAGGGCTGTGATTCCCCCCCAGTGGGACACAGATCTTTCCATTCTCTTTGCTGCAGCTCTGGTGCTGAATAACCCAGCCCAGAACTTTAATCTGCTGCCAAGGGAGCAGGTTCCATGCTGGGAGAGCTTTAATCTGCTCTCAGGCACATTAAAGTCAAGGGCACTCCTGGCTGGGTGTTGTGTGTCCCAGACAGCATCGATACAGCATGGATTTATCCTCAGAGTCAGCAGTATCCTGTCTGTACAGCAGCGCAGCTCAGCCCTCCTTGTGTCAGCTCAGGGGACTTTAATTTGCATTTAATTGCACTGTCCTTGATTTTCTAAGTATTTTCATAGAGTTATTAAATCCTAACGATTGCCTTGTTAAGCAAATTGTCCTTTTTGTAGTCCTGTTTACACTGAGCTGTTTTTAGAGTCTGAGAATGTTGTAGTGTTGGGGATTTTTGCTCACTGGTCTGTAGGTTAGTAAAATACAAGATTTATGCTGAGCCACCCCCAAAAATGCAGGTCCTGCTGCACTTCCCTGCATCTAAACTAGCAAAGCAATGCGGGCAGGTAGTTGCTGAATTTTTATGAAACCTGTAAATTTTCCTTCAATTTTCTGCTCAGCTGGACTCTCTGGGTGCACCTGCCTTTTGGTAGATAAAAACTGAAGGAGCTGTTGAGCTCCAAGGCTGAGTGCAGTGTGGCTGGGTGGGAATTGAGCTGGGAGCTCGGGGTGTGTGTCCAGCAGAGCTCTCAGAGCCCCAGAGCAGCCCTGGGGGTCTGCACCTCCCAGACCTGCACCACGTCCTCCCCGTGAAGGAGCTGGTCCTGCGCTGCTGTTGGGCTCCACGGGGATTTGGTTGGATTTTTTTGGCAGGGTCATTGTCCTGAGGTCTCTTGGATCCTGAGGAAGGGCACCAGGAGCTTTTTGAGAAGTGATTCTTTGCTCTGTGCCCCCAGGGTGCCCGCTGCAGCCGGGCTGGGCACTGCTGTGCCCTCGGTGTCACCGTTCCTGGGCATGGCATTTTCCTTGGCCTGGGAATGAGAGCGTGCAGGGAGTTCTCCTGGGTCACCTGCTGCACCAGGTTTATCCGTGTTCCCGTGCTCCTCCCACACTTCTGCTTTTGCTGGTTGAAATCATCCCTTTGTCTCCATCCAGGGGAAAATAGAGAAAAGGCCAGAGTCAGCCGCCGCCGCGCCCAGCTCTGAGCCCAGCGCGGGCACTAAAGTGGCTCCTAAAGTGGCAGCAAAAGAGGGGGTCCCCAAACAGCCCAATGGGAAAGTGAGTTGCTTTCACACTTTTCTCTGGGGGAGATGAAGGAAAACGTTTCCATTTTGAGTCACTGTCCCTCCTCTCCAGCTGTCCTGCTCTCTCCTGTCAGTGGCACTGTTCCTTGCACAGACACTTCCCCTCTCTCCTGTGCACCCTGAGGTCTTCCAGGGACACTCCTCCAGGCAGGGACCTTCTCCACTCCTGCTGGAAGGGTTTCCAGAGCAGAGTCCTCCTGTTACACTGCCAGGTTAATACAGGCTTAACTTGGACTCAGGGGGTTTCCCTTCAACCCAGTTCCTCACACACAGAACCAGTTGGCAACGAGGCAGAGAGGCTGAGTTCACAGCTGCTGCTTTTAGGACTGCAGAATATGTAGGAATTTAAATCTTTCCTGCAATATTCCCAACCCAGTTGTACCAAAACTCTGTAACTCCGTGCCTTAGGCCATCACCAGTGGATGGGTTACTCCAAAGTACAAGTGGATGGCGTGAGGTGGGAGTGCCACAGTTTAATTCCAATATTATCAGGCAGGAATGGTCAGGAGTGAACAGGATTTGTACCTCTAGGGAGTCAGTGAAGCTCCCCACACTCCATGGCACAGGTATGTTCCCAGAGCTGCTGTTCCTGAATTCAGCCTTTCAGACCTGGCTGAGGAGCTCTGGGAACCTGCCCAGGTGAGAGTGTTGGGTGATCCCTGCTGTGCTCCAAGCTTGTCACCTCTTGTAGGAACCAGGATCCAGCTGGGGCCTGCTTGTGCTGTGGTAAATAACTCAGCTCCAGACTAAACCTGTGTTGTAACTAACCTTTGTAAACACTGGTGTCTAACCCAGTTACTGCTGTGAGTAGAGCTCACCTAAACCACTCCTCTTGCATTTAAAAATCACAGAGTCACTGAGGCTGGAGAAGCCTTGAGATCACAGAGCAGCCATCCCCCAGCACTGCCAAGCCACCACCAGCCACATTCTCACACCCTTAAATCTGAGTCAGTGTGAAGGAGAAACCATTTCATTAACCTAAGATTCATCCTAAATTCCTACACCTTCAATAGAAAAATGTTTCTCAGACCCAGCTGTACTGCCCAGGGCTTTGGGGGGACATAATCCAGGGCTGGAGCCAGTCCAGGTGTGGCCATGGAGCAGCTCACAGCGTGCTGGAATGGCTCCTAGGCCTGGCTCTGGCCACTGTCACTGCAAAGCTCCCAGAAAGCTCCAGGGGCATGGGCAGTCCCATCCCACCTGGCTCTCCCTTTTCTAGGGAGGTTTTCTGGCCCTGGACAGTCCCATCCCACCTGGCTCTCCCTGTTCCAAAGAGTTTTCCAGGGCCATGGACAGTCCCATCCCCCTGGCTCTCCCTGTTCTAGGGAGGTTTTCATGCCCTGGGCAGTCCCATCCCACCCTCTGGGCAGGCTCTCCCTTCTCCAGGGAGTTTTCCAGGGCCATGGACAGTCCCATCCTGTCGCTCTGGGCTGGCTCTCCCTTCTCCAGGGAGTTTTCCAGGGCCATGGACAGTCCCATCCCACCCTCAGGGCTGGTTCCCTGCTCCAGGGAGTTTTTCCTAGGCCATGGGCAGTCCCATCCCCCTGGCTCTCCCTGTTCTAGGGAGGTTTTCATGCCCTGGGCAGTCCATCCCACCCTCTGGGCTGGCTCTCCCTGTTCCAAAGAATTTTCCAGGGCCATGGACAGTCCCATCCCACCCTCTGGGCTGGCTCTCCCTTCTCCAGGGATTTTTCCAGGGCCATGGACAGTCCCATCCCACCCTCTGGGCTGGCTCTCCCTGCTCCAGAGAGGTTTCCAGGCTCTGGGCAGTCCCATCCCACCCTCTGGGCTGGTTCCCTGCTCCAGGGAGGTTTTCCTGGGCCATGTACAGTCCCGTCCCACCCTCTGGGCTGGTTCCCTGCTCCAGGGAGGTTTCCAGGCCCTGGGCAGTCCCATCCCACCCTCTGGGCTGGTTCCCTGCTGCAGGGAGGTTTCCAGGCCCTGGGCAGTCCCATGCCAGCCCACCCCAGGGCTCTGCAGGGTCCCCAGGAGCTGTCCCCGCGGTGCTCCCAGCCTGCCACTAACACTGTCTGTGCAGCTCCTGTCCTTCACTCTCTCTCACTCTCCTCCTCGCTGGCTTCCCCCAGCACTGGGTCCAGCTCCACGGGGTCCCTGGTGGCCCCCGAGCCCCTGGGGCTCTGCAGAATGACAACTCTAACCAGTCCTCTTCCCTTGTGTTGTTTTCCGTTCTGTGACATTCCAGGTCCAGATAGTCTCCAAAAAAGCGAACTACAGCCATGTTCAGTCCAAGTGTGGTTCCAAGGACAATATTAAGCATGTCCCTGGAGGTGGGAATGTAAGTATGGGTGTGGGCAAGCTGTCTGTCTGCTAACTCCTTCTCTCTGCCCTGGTGGGTGTGCCAGCCTCAGCAGTGCTCTGCTGGAGCCCAGGCTGCTGGAGACATTCAGCCTGAGGATTGCTGCATTTCTTGGGGTTTGTTTCAGTGTACAGCTGCCCCTGGGCTGCTCCTGCTTCCTGAGCCTCGGGCTGGGGACGTGGCTGAGCCTGGCACTGAGCTCACTGGGGGTTCCCTCAGCCCCTCCTCAGCCCCTCCTCACCCCCTGAGCTCCCTGGAGCCTGCATTTCCCAGAGCAGATCCCTCATGGCCAGCTGGAGCCACACTCATTCACTCCTTGTTTCATAAAAGAGACTTTGGAGCAGGCAAAGACTCTGGGACTTAACCTCTGAGCCGAGATTAATTTCTAAATTTAAAGGCTGCTGGTATCTCTGGCAGCAGGGCTGAGCTTATTAAAATAGAAAGTTAATCTGGTGGTGTCTGCAGCTTGGTTTGGGGTGTTGGGTGCTCCAAGGGGCAAGCCAGGTTCCCTGTCCAGACCTACAGGCTGTGAGAGCATGAATGTGGTCTGAGGGCTCATTGACTGGGGCAGATCTGTGACAAACCTGGGCTGATGGCACAGGACAGGTTCAGGAATGCAAAGTTTGGGTGGCTTCAAACACACTGAAGGAGCTGAGCCCAGGGAAGTTTGTTCCAGAGGTGTTCAAATACCCTGTCACATCTGGTGAGCTGCCCAGAGCCTGGCTCGGTGACACAAACCCTGCTCAGGACCTGCCTGTGGAGCCAGCTGGGGGACACTTCTCCTGGGAAATGCATGTCCAGCTGGCTGAACCTCCACATGACTGATTTTACCACAAATCTTTGCAAGTGGCAACCAAATGTGGGTTCCTAACGAGTGGTTCCCTCCAGGCTGCTTGCCAGGGTGGCCAGGGACAGATGCTGAAGTCACAGCTGTGCCACAGAGCCCAGGCTGCCTTCCCACGTCCCTGCTGCCCTCCTGTCTGGGCATTTGGGATTTGTGGTTCTCTCTGCTGTCTCCATGATTTGCACCTTGTCCATGGGAGTGTTTCCCCTGGAAATGCTCCCACAGGGTACCTGGAAATGCTGGCCTCGAGCCCTGGTGTGCATGAGGAGCCCTCAGGAGGTTTCCAGCTCTGTTTCTGTTCCTGCTGCTGTCCCCCAGCCTGTCCCAGACGTGGTGGCAGAAGTGCCTTTGGCCACACTGGTGACAGCTCTGGAGCAGCTGGTGGCATTTCCCTGTCCATGCATTCTATAAACCACTTCAATTTTTCCACCTTTACCTTGTTCAGCCTTTCAGGAGCCATCAGGTGCCTTTCCTGTTCTTTCAGGCTGCCAGAAATGGGGCTGGAGCATGGGGGATCTTTCCTTGCCTGGTTAACCATGTCAGTGAAGTGTCCTTCTGCTCATGAATCGCCCTGCTTGTCCTTCCCTCTGCATTCCCAGCCCTGGGGACAGCTGTGTCCCTGCTTTCTCCTCCTCTTCTCCTCTCCCACACTCTCCTTTCACCGCTGCAGTTTTGCTCCTTGCTCAGCTGCTTAAGCAGCTCTTCATCCTGCATTTTCTGAGCCAAAAGTTCATTTCCAGGCTCCAAATGCTCCCAGAGCAGCTCCAGGCAAGCATTCCCAGCCCTCCAGCACAGGCAGTGTGGATGTGAGTGCTCAGTCTGTCTTCCCAATAAATCATTTTTTATTTTGATTTTGTTCATTTCTGTATCTTCCCGCTCCCTTTGGAGCTCTGTGATTTGAGTGGCCTCTTCCAAGATGTTTTCTTGCTCAGGTAGTTGTGGTGATCCCTTCTGACAGAATTCCCAGTGCTGAATTCCCAGGTGGGTCTGTCTGGAAGGTCTGTTCTGATCTGTGCCTTCAGTCAGAGCTTTTAGGAATCCTGTGGACAAGAGCATCGTGGTTTAGAAACAATTCCTGATTAACTTTAGGGTTGCTCTGGTGGCAGTGATGGACATGGAATGGTCTGGGCTGGAAAGGACCCTAGAGATGATTGAGCTGCTCCCTGCCCAGTGCCCATTTTGATCTCCCCAAGGAGATCATTTCCTCTCCATGCCAAGATTCCCCAGGAGCTGTGCCCAAAAGCCCACAAACCAAGTTTGTGTCCAGAAACACCCGGACACAAACACGGTTCAGTTCCTGGGGAAATGTTTGGATGTTTTTTTTGTTGAGTATTTCCCACTCTCAGAACCACTGAGGTTGGAAAAGATCTCCAAGGCCATCGAGCCCAACCTCTGAGCAAGTTTTCTGTTCCAAGAGCAGAACAGAGGTGGATTTTACAAAGTGCAGGCAGTGTCTGTGGGTGAAGGAAGTTTGGGACGGGAATTTGGGGCGTCCCTGTGCTCCCCTGTCCTTTGGCTTGGCCTGCTTGGCTGCACTGGCACATGGTCAGAGACACAAAAGCTAACAAGAGCTGAGGCCAAACTCCCAAAGTTTATTTCTGGCACCAGAGTCTGTGTTTGGCTCTCTAAGTGCAACCCCAAGGTGCAAACCCAGCTCCTGCTGGAAGTCCTACGAACAGACCCTTCCATGAGGGTGGGGCAGTTTGGATCTCAGGTCAGGAGTCACAGCTGGTACCAACAGAAGGATTTCCAAGTGCATTCTGTGAAATAAATTTAATCTCAGTTCTGAGCAAGCAAGGAGTGCAGATTAAAGCTGTAGTAACTTTACTCCTGAAAAAATCCAGTCAGGGTCTGTGTCTGACCGACTGACTCCACCTTTGGAGGGTGTCACTGGGCTGGGGACAGGGGACCTGGCAGGAGGCTGAGCTGGGCTGTCCTGCTCCCCCTGGCAGCATCCTGGGACTCCTCCCTGGGCACAGGAGCAGGGGGATCCCTGCTTCCCTAGGAGGATTCTCCTGAGAGCTCCCAGTAAACTCCCAGAGCAGCTGGTGGGCAAGGAATTCCTGTCACTGGAAAGGAAATCCTTGGGTTTCCTCTGGGAACTGACCTGGAGCAGAACTGAGCCTGCAGGTTCCAGCTGCTCTCACCTTGGCCTTGAGAGGGATGGATTCCTGGAGCAGTGCATTCCATCTGGGCTCTCTGTGCTCAGCTGCTGCTTTTTGTCTCCCCAGGTGCAGATCCAGAACAAGAAAGTCGACCTTTCCAAAGTGTCCTCCAAGTGTGGATCTAAAGCAAATATCAAGCATAAGCCAGGTAGGAATTTTACCATTTCCTCATTTGTCTGTGAGTTTTGTCCCTTAAACACAGTCCTGGATTGGGACTGGAATAGTTTAAGGGGCTTGTTGCTTTCAGAGGAAGTCCCCAATGCTTCTGGAAATTCCTAAAAATGCTTCTTCCAAAATTCCTGTTGGTTTGATGAGCAGAGATGTGGGATGTCCTCTTGCCTGTGAAGATAATCTACAGCTTTGACTCATTTCTGCTCATTTAAGAAGGAAAACATGGATGCTTCCACAGTCATTCCAGGAAGCTTCATCCTTGCTCACAGAGGCTTTGGGGCACTTGGAACATCCCAGGATGTTCATGGAACATGGAAGGATAAAGGAAATTCCCTTCAGGGTCCTTTAAGCCTTGATTCCAGGGCAGCTCCTGCCTCACATGAAACCCCTGTGGCCCTCGGGTGAATTATTTGGGATGAGTGTGGGGAGAGAGTACAGCAGCTCCTCTGCCTCAGCCCCTGGGAACCTCCTGGGGCTGGAGGCCTGAGGGATGCTCAGATCAGTGCCCAGGGCTGGGAAGGAGCCCCACAGGCTGCTCTTTGTCCCCTCAGGGAGGCCCAGGGGCAGGGGGGACCCTGCCCAGCCTGCCAGGTCGGAGCAGAGCCGCTCCGGGCGCTGGGAACGCGCTGCCACGGGCACGACCCCTGCGGGCTCAGTGCTGCCAAATAACCAGCAGGGAGGGACAATCAGTGCCTTGTGCAGGTCTGGGGAGGGCACAGCCACCCTGCCAGAGGCTTCAGCTGCTGCTCTGCACCAAACCCCTCGGGTTTTCCACCGATGGATGGCCGTGCCAGCCTTCCAGAGCCTGAGGGTTTAACAAAGCTGTGCTCAGCAAGACTTGAGCTGGGCTTTGGAGAAGCTGCAGCCAGGGAAAGGTGGCCCTGTCCGTGCAGGGGGGTTGGAATCATCCTTAGGATCCAGGATTCCAGTCTGTGGGTTTGTGCACTGGCTGATTTGTCAGTAAAGGAGGCAGCGCTGTGAGCAGAGGGATGGAGCATCTCCCCTGGGAGAGCTGGGATTGTTCAGCCTGGAGAGGAGAAGGCTTTAGGGTGACCCCACTGTGGCCTTCCAGGACCTGAAGGGAGCCAAGAAAGATGGGGAGAGATGACTTCCAGAGGCCTGGAGTGCCAGGACAAGGGGAAATGGCTTCCCACTGCCAGAGATGGGATCTTGGGAATTAGGAATTGTTCCCTGTGAGGGTGGGCAGCCCTGGCACAGGGTGCCCAGAGCAGCTGTGGCTGTCCCTGGATCCCTGGCAGTGCCCAAGGCCAGGCTGGACAGGGCTTGGAGCAGCCTGGGACAGTGGGAGGTGTCCCTGCCATGGCAGGGGTGGCACTGGATGATCCTTTCCAACGCAGCCCATTCTGGCTTCTGTGATTAATGGGAATCTATCTATATCTAATTCTATCTATTATACCTATATCTATCTATATCTATATCTATATCTATATCTATATCTATATCTATATCTATATCTATATCTATATCTATATCTATATATCTATCTATCTGTATCTGTATCTATATCTATATCTATATATCTGTATCTGTCTATGGGAATCTACCTATATCTAATTCTATCTATTCTATTCTGTCTATATCTCTATCTATATCTATATATCTAGATCTGTATCATCTATATCTAATTCTATCTGTGGGAATCTATATCTAATTCTGTCTATCTATATATCTGTATCTGTCTATATCTCATTCTGCAATCTGTTCCACTCTGGAAGAATCTTGCTGAAATTGTGCAGCTGCAGGTTCTGCAGGAGGTTTGTGCCCTGCAGGTTCCCCTGCAGTGTTCCTGCAGCTGGGGTGTGTGCAGGAGGGTCTCTCCAGCCTGTCTGTGTGGATGTGCAGCATTCCCCAGGGCCCTGTTTGCTGGCACAGCAGGAAAACACCAACTTTGGTCTTCCAGAACTTCTCCTTGTCCTGCCCTCCTCCAGAGGGTCCCCAGGAGCTCCTGAGGGGCTGCTGGGTGGGGGCTTCCCCAAACTCAGCCCTGCTCCGTGTCCCTGCAGGGGGAGGAGACGTCAAAATCGAGAACCAGAAGCTGAACTTCAAGGAGAAGGCCCAGGCCAAGGTGGGATCTCTGGACAACGTGGGACACTCGCCGGCCGGAGGAGCTGTCAAGGTGAGGGCTGGGACCTGGCACAGCCAGGGAGTGGCTTTGATCCAGTTCTTGTCCTGCTGCTGCTGCTGTGCAGCTCCTCCTCCACAGCCTGGTACAGCTCCTTGCTCCTGGGGCCTCTGCTGTGCACCCTGGGGCCTCTGCTGTGCACCCCGGGGTGAGGCTGGAGCCCTGGTGAGGATGGAGCACAGGGTGAGGCTGGAGCACAGGGTGAGGATGGAGCCCTGGTGAGGATGGAGCACAGAGTGAGGATGGAGCCCTGGTGAGGCTGGAGCCCTGGGTGAGTCTGTCTGGAATGGAAAGAGCTGTACCCCCTTCAGGCTGCCTGACCCTGCTGGGCAATCCCAAGGGCTGGCACTGCCCATCTCCATCCTTCCTCTTGGAAGCTGAGGACAGGGATCCCTGCAGGCTGTGGGCCCAGCAGAGGGGCTGGCAGGGACCTTCACCCCCAGTGAAAGCTGCTGAGATCCCCGTGCTCTGTGCTGGCAGAGAGCCCCTGGCAGTCTTGGGAGCATTTCCAGATCCATGGAATGCCCAGAGCTGGAAGGGATCTGTCCAGCCCAGTCCTGCAGCTCTGTTTTTGTGGGGGTGAGAGCAGAGCACAGCTCTCATGGCTGATTCATCCCCTCTCCCCGGGAACACAAACTGTCCCCAGCCTCGCTCTGCACGCTGCAGGTCTGCCTGCAGCAATGGGACATCTGTGCTCAGGAGGGGACATTCCGTCCCTGAGGGATGTGTGGGCCTGGCACAACCCCAGGGAGCTGGGAATTGTGCTCAGGGAGTCACTGAACAACCCAGGGAGCTGGGAATTGTGCACAGGGAGTTGGGAATTGTGCTCAGAGAGTCACTGAACAACCCAGAGAGCTGGGAATTGTGCTCAGGGAGTCACTGGAACAACCCAGGGAGTTGCTGGAACAACCCAGGGAGTTGGGAATTGTGCTCAGGGAGTCACTGAACAACCCAGGGAGTTGGGAATTGTGCTCAGGGAGCTGGAAATTGTGCACAGGGAGTCACTGAAGGGACTCATGACACCCCTGCCATGGCAGGGACATCTTCCACTACCCCAGGCTGCTGCCAGCCCCAGTGTCCAGCCTGGCCTTGGTTTGTTTGGGGCTTTGTGTGTGCAGAAGAGCTCAGAGCTGGGCTGAGCTGTTGTGTTGGAGCCTGAAAGCAGCAGTGCTCAGTCATTCCTGGCAAAGCAAGGGCAGAGGGCTTGGCCACTGCTCAGGATTCTCCTGTCTCCAGCCCTGTCTGGAAACTCCATCCTGGCAAATCGTGGCTGAGGGAAAGCTGGAAGGAGCTGGAGAAGCTGCTCCTGCACTGGGAGGGATGTGGAACTTTCTGTAAGAGAATTCCAGAGGACTGGAGAGGCTGCTGTGGACACTGGTGCTGTTTGCTGGTGAGGGGTGCTCCCACCCAAGCTCCAGAACCTCACCTGTTCAGGTGGAGTGTCCCCCTGCCCCGGGTGTCTGTGCTGGCAGTGCCTGGCAGTGCTGCTGCTGCCCCTGTCCTTCCCAAGGGGATCTGTCACCCGTGGGACCCCTCCAAGGGCAGGGGGCTCAGCTCTGCCCCAGGAGCTGACTCCAGGTGGGATCAGCAGCTCTGCTGGGAGGCCAGAGCAGGATGGGATTCTCGGAGCTCTCACTCCTGGTTCACAGCTCAGCCTTGAGGGAAAAGGGATCCTCGTGTGAGCTTGGCCTGCCCAGTTTGGGACCCACCAGCTGCTGGGAACGCGGGATGTGGAGTGGTTTGGGATGGAAGGGACCTTGAGGAACACCCAGTGCCACCCCTGCCGTGCCACTGTCACAGGGTGCTCCCAGCCCTGTCCAGCCTGGCCTGGGACACTTCAGGGGCAGCCCCAGCTGCTCTGGGTGTCCCCCGATCCGGTGTCACAGCAGTGACCCCTCGGCCGCAGCGCACTGCGGTTTGTCCTTGTGCCAGCTGTTCCAGCTGTGTCTGGCGGAGGAGCTCCAGGCCCCGAGGTTGGTCAGACCCCGCAGGACCGGCCAGCATTTGCTTTCCCAAGAGCAGAGACTCCGCTGCCACTGCCCCGTGCCACGTTTGTCATTGTCATTGTCATTGCAGGCGGAGGGCGGCGCGGAGCCGGCGCAGCTCCCGCCGCAGAACGGAGCGGGGCCGGGCCCGCTGCGGGAGAACGGCGTGGGACCGGCCCCGGCCGAGCAAAGGGAAATGCAGAGCCTCGACACCCACATCCAAGAAACAAGTAAGTACCGACAGCCCCGGCCGGGCCGGGGGGAGGGAGCCCGGCAGCCCCGACCGCTGCTAGCGACGTCCGCGGGGTTGCCGTGCCTTTCTTTTAATTCGGAAAATTGCCTTTTATCTTCCAGGCATCTAATGATGACATTATGGTATCGTCTTCCATTCCCCTCCTGTCCCTTGTCTCCTCCTCTCCCCGCGTCCCCTTGTCCCCTGCCCTTGTGTCGCTGCAGATTGAGTCTCCCAAGTGACGTTCCGTGCGAAGGCCAAGGCTCGAACGGACCACGGAGCTGAAATCGTCGTCTCCAAACCCCCGACCCTTTCCAGCAGCACCCGCCCCCGGCGCAGCACCTCGGCCAGCGCCAGCCCGGCCTCTGCCTCCCCATCACCATCACCACCGGCCGTGCCCTCCCAGCAAGGCTTGTGACCCGGCCCCGCTCCACCGGGACCAGCTTGGCTCTCTTAACCCGGCCCTGCCTTGGGTGGGAAGGGGACGATGTTCCGCGGGCCGGGGTCCCTCCGTGCCGGGTCTGGGCCGTGGGTGCGCCGGGGCCGGGCCGAGTTAACAGGGATAAGCTGTGATCTTTAATTCTGGCTCTTTTTTTAACCCCCTTCCCTCCTCGCCGCTTCAGTTCTGCCGCCTGTGGGATGCCGATAAATCCCCTCCACACTCGTTAGGCTGTTTTAACTGTTGACTTGAACCTTTTATTCTTTGTGACGAAGTGTTGATGAATTATCGTGTTCGAACCCGCGCTAAGTTTCCTTTTCTCTTTCCTTCTTTTCCGACCCGTAGGAGAGTAGGGACATTTAACCGCTGCTGCCGTGCCGGCTTCTTACTGACATATCCAGCCGTTGTAACTTCTTTGTTGTTGTTTGGGGTTTTTTCTTTTTAATATTTTAAAACGATGGAGCGAGTTCATGGGATTAAGCCATGTCCGGAAGGAAAGGCACAGGAATGTGTAAAGGGCAAACTTTGCTGTGAGAGCTCAGGTGGAGCCTGTGTTGACCTGGAGATGCGTTAATTGATGCTGGAGATGTGTTAATTGATGCTCGCGAGCCCTCCCGGGGTGCCTTCTGCCGGGGTGGTTTATTTATTACCGGCGCGGCCGAGCTCTGGGATTTCTCCCGTTTTTCCAGAGCAGGGGCAGGAGGGCAGGGCCGGGAGTTGTGAGGCTGCAGCAGGTCCGTGGGGGTGTGGGGATTGTCTGGGGCGTGTGGGGGGTTTTTGGGGTGATGGATGGGGGACCCGAGCGAGCGCCGGGATGAGCAGGGACAGCGGGACAGGGAAGGGCAGCGCTCAGCTCATCCCGGGGCAGCGGGGCAGGGTCGGTGCCAGGGAGTTGCAGCTCTGACTAGGAAGGAGATGTAACCACTCTTGGAGCTCCTCGTTTCAAATGACACTAAAGAAACAAAATGTAAATAAATTGAAACAAAACAAAACGAAAGTGTTCTTGGGTGGTCAAACTAATTTAAAGAATAAAAAAAAAACAAAAAGCAAAAAAAAAAAAGCAAGCAGAATAAGAAAACACTGGGATCAAAGAGAACTGAACCAGGCGTGTGCTAAGGGGGGCTGCTCCAGGAGGGGACAGAGGGAAGCCTGCAGCTTCTCGTGCTTGTGGGAGTATTTCTTTGGGAAGCCAACAACGACACGATAACCCGGAATCTGTATTTACACACAAAGATTCTTATTGCACTTGTATTTTTTATATTAAAGTTTGCATGGTTTCTAATAAAATGGCATTAAAATGTACTAGTTTGCATCAAAGTCGTCTGGTAGTTTCATAAGTGCTTTTTCATCTGAATACAAATTCAAACGATGCAGATTTGCACCTGAAAGGGGCGGTTATATATACCCAGAGACCTCCCAGTGCTTCCCTTCCTCTTCTTCCTCTTCCTCCTCCTTTTCCTCTTCCTCCTCCCCACCTCTCCCTCCGCATCCCTGTGATCCCAGCCGGGGAAGGCGGCCGTGCCGTCGCTCCCTGCCCTCCCGGTGTGTCCCGGTGTGTTCCCGGAGCGGCCCCGCTCCCGGAGCCCTGCTCGGTCCCTGTGTGCCGGTATATATCACTGCCCGCCCGTGACGCTTCCTTCTTTCTTTACTGCTAAATTCTCCACACCAGCTTCAGCTTGGCAGCCTCGCCTTTGCTTTGCTCGATTCTTTTTCCAACACTTGAATTGAGGGAAAATTAGAAGGAGAGGAGAGGAGCAGGGTGAACCCCTCGGCAGGCCCGGGAGGCTGGAGCCTCCTGGTTCCCAGGCTGGAGCCTCCTGGTTCCCAGGCTGTGACCAGCCAGGGAGGCCTTGGCAGGGCTGGAGCCGAGCTCCAGGCTCCCAGGCCGGGCAGGGGCGCTGGGAGCAGGGTTTGTGTGCCGGGCAGCAGCCGGAGACAGCCGTGGGCTAACGAAGAGGAGGTGGAGGCTGAGATGTCGAGTTCCTCTTGCTGCTCTTCCTGGGGCACCCCAGGCCTGTGGTGGCCTGGGATGTCCCGGGATGAGATTCTCTGGGATGTCCTGGGATGAGATTCCCGGGGTGCCCTGGGATGAGATTCCCTGGGATGTCCCGGGATGAATGTCCTGGGATGAGATTCTCTGGGATGTCCCGGGATGAGATTCCCTGGGATGTCCCGGGATGAGATTCCCTGGGATGTCCCGGGATGAGATTCTCTGGGATGTCCTGGGATGAGATTCCCGGGGTGCCCCGGGATGCGATTCTCTGGGATGTCCCGGGATGAAATTCCCTGGGATGTTCCGGGATAAGATTCCCTGGGATGTCCCGGGATGAGATTCCCTGGAGTGCCCCGGGATGAGATTCCCGGGGTGCCCCGGGATGAGATTCCCTGGGATGTCCTGGGATGAGATTCCCTGGGATGTCCCAGGATGAGATTCTCTGGGGTGCCCCAGGATGAGATGCCCAGGGTGCCCCGGGATACGATTCCCTGGGATATCCCGGGATAAGATTCCCTGGGATGTCCCGGGATGAGATTCCCTGGGATGTCCCGGGATAAGATTCTCTGGCATGTCCCAGGATAAGATTCTCTGGGATGTCCCAGGATGCGATTCCCTGGGATGTCCCGGGATGCGATTCCCTGGAGTGCCCCGGGATGCGATTCCCTGGGATGCCCCGGGATGAGATGCCCAGGGATGTCCCAGGATGAGTTTCCCGGGGTGCCCAGGCGAGGCCCCGGGCAAAGGGAGGCAGCCGGTCCCGGTTCAGGGACTGCAGGAGGAAGGCAAGTGGCAACATTGCACTTTATCTTCTGAGATTGCAAAAAGCAAACGAGCCCTGCCCCGCTGCGAGGGGACAGTGGCATCACCTTCTCCCTGCTTTTCTCCGATTCCCGATGATTTCCTGAGCACCGGGCGGAGGTGGCTGCGTGCGGTGCCCAGGCTGTCCCTGCCCAAAGCCCGGCCCAGCCGAGCCCCCGGCCCGTGCTTCTGTGCCACTTCTCTAACACTTGTTGTGCCTGTGTTTAGCTGATAACTAAATCCAGATACACTAGTTTGCCGTGGTGTTTCTAGGACAGCTTCAGTTCTAATACGGATTTCTTTTTTGAGTTTATTTTGAGGAAGCGGCTGTACATATTGCTAGGCTGGGAAGGAGCCGTGTGTGGTGGGAATGATTTTAGTTTCCCGTCTGGAGAGGTGGGATGAGCTGGGTACTGCTGAGACCTTAACGCTGCTGGGGAAGGGGCTGCGGGCGCGGTGGCTCCATCGAGGGCTGGAGGCAGCAAATCCGGGGGGGAAACAGGAGCTGAGCCCTGAATGAGATGCCAGTTGAATGTACACGTTCCTGTCCCGGGCTTTGGCCGCACTGGGGGACTCTGGGCTGGGCAGGGGCTGAGCGGGGCTCCGGGCAGGACTCAGCAAAGGCTTCGCAGAGCTCGGGGCGAGCAGCGGCTGAGCCGCCCGAGGCCGGTGGGGAGGCGGCGGGGCCGGGGCAGGGCCGGGGGCGAGCCCGGTCCCGGCGGGGCTCCGCTTCGAGCCACCGAGTCCGGGCTCGAGGCCGCCCCAGCCGCAAACTGAATGTAGCTTCCTCTGCTGTCCCCGCGTCGTGTCGGTGTCAGAGGGACCCCGGGACCCTCGCGTGTTCGTGTTTAGGCAGAATTCCCGGTTCTTTCGGAGCTTGGTGGCGGTGGCGGCCTCGGGGGTGACGGGGCTCCCCTGAGGGCAGGGCCGAGTCCCTGCGGAGCCGCGGCACCTCCGGGCTGAGGGGAAAGTGAAATGTCCCCAAGGCCCGGCACCTCCGGGCTCAGGGGAAAGTGAAATGTCCCCAAGGCCCGGCACCTCCGGGCTGAGGGGAAAGTGAAATGTCCGCAAGGCCCGGCACCTCCGGGCTGAGGGGAAAGTGAAATGTCCCCGAGGCCCGGCACCTCCGGGCTGAGGGGAAAGTGAAATATCCCCAAGGCCCGGCACCTCCGGGCTCAGGGAAATGTCCCCGAGGCCCGGCACCTCCGGGCTGAGGGGAAAGTGAAATATCCCCAAGGCCCGGCACCTCCGGGCTCAGGGAAATGTCCCCGAGGCCCCATGGCCGGCGGGTGGGGCGGAAGAGGCTCCATGGAGCAGCAGCAGCACGGAAAGGGCTCTGAGGGGCTCCGGCTCCCCCCGCTCCCTCCCCGCACGGTCACCCACCAGCCCCGCTGTCCTCACCTGGCACCGAGCGCAGTGACCGGGGCGGGGGCTCGGCCCGGAGGGCGGTCCCGGCCCTCGGCTCCCTCCGTGCTCTCGGGAAGCCACTCAACCTCTCTGCCTCAGTTTCCCCATCCGCAAAGGTGGGGGGGATTCAATTTTACCTCACCGGGCTGTTGTGAGGCGTGAGCAGCGCGTGACGTGTTCTCTAAATGTGACGTGTTATTATTATTTTGTGTCATAGGATTATTCTGCAGGGCGTGCCCGAGGAGGGGGACTCCGCTGGGGAGGGGAGGTCAGTGCTCGGTGGGAGACAGCGGCCCGGGGGAGCCCATCGGTTGTTTCTGCCTTTGTGTCTCCCCTCCCCGGGGGCTGTAAGAGCGTCGTCTCCTTAGCAACATTTCCTGACTCGATGTTGTGGTTCTTACTATTGTAAAGGGTTGAAATAAAGCTTCTAGATGTTCCTCCTCAGGCTGCCGTGACTCTGTGGGGCAGGAGGGGTCGGGCGGGGGCGGTGGCACAGCCCGGGGCAGCTGATGTGCTAAGGAGGGGCTGGAGGAATTTGGGTGTCTGATTTGAGCCCCCGGAGAATTCCCATCCCTGGCTTTGCTCCCCAAGCCCGGGCTCAGAGGGGAGGGGGCTCTGGGCTGACAAGGGCTCTGTGGGAGCCGCGGTGCCCATGGCACAGCTGGAACAGCTGGCACAGCCAGAGGGTACCAGCACCTCCCAGGCAGTGCCCTGGCCACTCACACAGATAAAGGAAAGGTTTCCCACCCTGGCTTGGCCCTGACCGAGACCCCAAATGGGACTGGGAGCCAAGTTCCAGGTGCCTGTGCCCGGAGCAGCCGCTGCCCCGCTCAGCACCCCCAGCCACGGGCACAGGGGCTCGGGGACACCCTGGTTGGCTTCCTGGGCATGGGCGGCTCTGGGACACGCTGGGATGGTTTCTCCAGGCACCAGCAGCCCCAGGACATCTCCCTCAGTGCCAGCCCCCTGTGCCCACAGCCACTGTCCCCTCGGGGTGGCTGCGGTTGGTGTGGGGGCACAGCATGGTCCTGCAGCCCCTCAGTGCCCCAGGGCAGCTCTCCCAGCAGAGAAGCAGTTGCTGCTGCTCTTCCATACCCCAGGAAAGGCACAAAATTCCAACCTTTGCAGAAAAAAAAATACAGTAAAAAAAGAATGAAGAGGACAGAGGCAGTTCCTACTCTATCCCTTTTTATTGTCTTTAATCTATGTTGTAAAAAGATCCAGTATCACATAACAGCCACGGAAGTATCCCAATATCACACTAGTTCGGAACCATTTAGACAATAGCTTAGTCTTTTTTTTTTTTTGTCTTTTTTTTTCCTTTTTTTTTTTTAAACCTGCTGGAAGGGAAAACCATACTGCCCATTATACAGGCCAAAAGAAACAAACACTGGTCAAATAATAGTGACAACCTCAAGCAAGTGAAATGAAGATGAGCAGTTTGGAGTGACCCCGGGCTGCAGGACTCCAAGGGCCCCGCGCCGGCGTCCCCACGGCCGGGGGCAGCGGAGCCTGGGAAGGGCCCCCTGGGCCTTGTGCTGGCACAGCCACGGTGCCCTAAAGCCCATGAGCAGAAACTGAAATGGCAGAACTGGGAGAAGCAAAGGGTGGCCCCGGGGGGCGCGGGGCAGGAGCCCCTGTGCCATGGAAAGGGCCTCGCTCCCATTCCCGGCTGCAGGTACAAAGAGCGTAAGAAATGGGAATAAAAAGAAAGGAGCCCAGGCCCCGGGGGGCACAGCCCTGGGCCCGAGGGCTCCCGTTACAAACCCCGACCCTCACAACAGCCCTGTGAGGTAGGTCACTGTCTTCTTCGGACAGAGAATCCAAGGCAAAGCTGGGATTAAACTCCAGATTCCTCAGTGAGTGCTGTGCCTGTCGCAATCCTCCTTCCACAGAAATATGGTCCCTGTTCATAGAAAACAAAGGATTTTGTGCCTCTGCTCCTGGCTTCCCGCAGGAGCGGCGCTCACAGGCAGCCTGGCAGCTACAATCACGTCCTGTGTTGCACAAGGGACAGGGATCCGGCCTCCTCCACGTGGGGAGAAGAGGAATTAAAAAAAAATCATAGGAACAAGAGGACAAGAAGTACAGGCAGGTTGGGAAGGACGAGTCACATCTCACACTCAGACGCCACGACTGTGCTGGGGCTGGCAGGGCCCCTCGGATCCCACGTGGAATTCCTCTCCATCCCTGGAATTCCTCTCCATCCAGTGCTTTCGGGGCTTCCTCCATGTGGAGAGTGGAGAGACAACGATCAGCCGGAGCTGCTGCATCCACGATCCTGGCACAGCCGGGACATCCGTCCTCCTCTTGAGCCCGGAGCAGCTCTGGCCCCGTGGGGAAGGGGCAGAGGAGGGCCTGCAGCAGTCGTGGCCTTGCTCCCGGTCCTGGACGAGCGGAGGAGGCGGGTGGGCGTCCACGGAGCTCGCGCCGGGGTCCGTCGGCACTCCCAGTCCTTTCCCGGCGGGACTGCGCTGCTCTTCCCACGCGGTGACCATGCACGGAGCCGACAGCAGGAGATTCAGACAACATTAATCTTCTAGGATGGAGAGAGATGACTTCACAAGGGATAAATAGAACTTTATTTAAATAAACATTTGTGAACATCTTTATACAAATTACAAGTCCCCACACGAGGCTGCAGCTCCGCCTACGAGCCGAAGCTGCCGGGAGGGCCCTTGAGCAGATCCACCAGGATGTCGAGCAGTTGGCTGTGCTGGTGGTGCAGGTCCCCGGGGATCGCGGCCATCTCGTAGCACAGGCACGTCTCCACCATCTTGGAGAGGGACACACGGAAGTCGCGCAGCAGGCGGATGGTGTAGGAGTCCCCCTCCAGCACCAGCAGGTCGCTGTCCGTCAGGGACACCGTCGCTCGCCAGCCGTCATCTTGGGGGGAGGGAGAGCGCGTGAGCGGGAACGGGGCTGCTGGGGCTCCTCTGCTGCCCCTGAGGCAGCTCCTCCCCACGCCCATTCCAGCCCTGTCTGGGGACTCAGCTGGGCCAACAGCTCCACAACCGCCCGGCAGCTCTGAGCAGGCACTGGGATCCTCCCAGTTTCCCACAGGAGGTGACCGATGGCAGAGCCCTGCTGAGCTCGCGGGCTGGAGACCGACTGCAGCAGTGCCAAAACCCCACAGGCTGAACAGACACATCCCCAGGGACTAGTGGGATCCTGCCAGCTCAGCTCCTTGCCCCAGGATGATCAGGCACAGCCCTAAGGCTCAGCCTGCCGGGGCTGCTTTGTCTCCCTGCAGAGCAGCAGCTGGGAACAGCTCACAAACCATCACCCCGCCACAGCAATGCGTGCCCAGCCCGAGAGCCTCAGGAAGCAGGAATTGGGGCCGGGGAGCAGCTGGAGCACTCACCTCGCACGTGGATGTCGGTGTCGGTCATGAGCAGCACAGCCAGCGGGTGCACCTGCGACGAGTCGCGCACAAAGACGCCGCCGTTGGACTTGACGGCCATGAAGTAGGTGAGCCAGCGGCTGTAGAGCTTGGATGCCTCCCTGCAGGAGCAGCTCTGTCAGCCCAGCCAGGCCCAGGCACGGCCACGGCCTGTGGGATCCCCTCCCCGGTCACCCACCTGTTGATGGTGGACTTGTGCAGCAGCACGGTGCCGGCCTTGGTCCGGTACGCGTAACTGTTGGGCTTGAACTTCCCCTGGCGCGTCACCTTGCCTTGTCTCACCTGCCACGGGAGGGGACTGTCACACACCTGACAGCCACAGCCACCCCTCTGACAGGGGGAGGGCAATGACCCCTCCACTCCCAGGGGCTCCGTGGTTAGTGGAGCACGTTCCTGGGGTGATCACACCTGGCCGTCACCCAGTGCCATCACAGACAACAGGGGGAGGAAGATGCCACCTCAGGCAGCAAACAGGCGAAAAATGCCACTTCAATGGCTCCCAAACCCAGTGATGAGAACCTAAACACGGACCCACACAAGCTGGGGTGGCCACTCCTCGTGAGTGGGGCTCAAGGACAGCACTGGAGCGCAGGCCGGAGCCCAGGGCAGGGCAGCTGGCTTGACACTCACTCCCAAGAGAGCAGAAGCTTCTCTGGCACCTCAGCACTTCCCAGTGCCACCTGCTGTGACAGCCATCCCCGCAGAGCGATGGCAGTGCCAGTACCTGGATGAGGTTGGGGTAGAGCCCAGCCATGAGGACGCCCTTGACCAGTTCCTCCTCCTCACTGTACTGGTTACACACGGACGAGGGCATGGTACAGTCGGAAGGGGATGACACCAGGAAGGCTTCATAGAGGTTCTCAGAGAACTGCTTGACAAGGCCTGGAAGGAGGAGACAGCCCCAGGGATGAGATCCACCCTCTCCTTCCGCCCAAGGAACGAGTCACCTCAGCAGGGCAGGCAGCACCAGACAGGAGACCTGTCCCGGGCCAAAGCCAGACCCTGCCCGGTCCCACGGTCACTGGTCCAGCACAGCCCGTTGGTGCCCCGCGTCCCTGCCCCTGGGGCCAGGGGAGGGGAGGACGCTCTGAGCTCACCGTTGATGAAGCGCAGGCTGGGCCCGTACAGGTAGTAGTCCTGCAGGTAGTTGTCCCGGGCACGGCTGTCCCTGCGCCGCAGCACCTCCTCCCAGCCCGCCACCGCCCGCACGAAGGCCAGGTGGTCACTGCCGCTCTCCCGGCTCAGCACGGCCTTGGCCTGGGACAGGGACACAGCTGAGCCTCGGGCTGCCCCGGGCCCTGCTCCCCGCCTGCGCCGGGGGGCTGCTCACCTTGTCCACCTCAGCGCGGTTCTGCAGGCTGCTGCTGAAGGGGTCCCGCGTCAGGCACGACACGATGACCAGCAGCGGGTGGAGGCAGCGGTAGATGGAGGCCAGGACGATGGCTTTGGCCAGACGGGGGTCCGTGGAGATCTGGGCCAGGCGTTTGCCCAGAGTGGTCAGGGCTTCCCGCTGGTCCAGCACTCCTGCAGGAGAGCCACCCGTGTGGCACACCCATCAGCTCCCAGTGCAGCCAAAACAGGGGACTGGGGAGCTGCCAGGGCTGGGAAGATTTGGGGTGACCTCCAGAAGAGGCACACGGACAGGGGCCTGCAGTAAGCACCCAGAACCCCCAGGTCTAACTGAGCTCAGGACAAAGAAACAGTTGTCACAGCCACAGGACCATCCACAGGGCCCAGGCCTCAACTCCAGATCACCAATTCCCTTCCTTCTGTCACCCACCTCTGATTCCAGATCACCACTTCCCTTCTTTCTGTTACCTCACCTTTATTTTTTTAACCTTGGGAAACTATCCCCGATTTTTAAGCAAAGCAATGTGAGAAATAAAACAGCACAGGGCACGTGGTTTGGGCAAGTCACTGTCAACTGCTATCCCCATCCAGGGACAATCCTGCCCAGTCTGCCCCACAGCAGCCTGTGCCAAGTCCCATTCCCATGCTGAGAACAGCAAACGTTTGCAGGACACAGGATTGCCT